TAAGCATGCATCTGCTCATTAAAGGCAGCGGTGAGATTGTACCATAGCCCCAGACGTGGCTTCTTCCTTTCCAGCAAATTGCCAGCTTTTTCTCGAGTGGTCTTCCTTTAAACACTGCTGCTGAAGTATCAGGTCCCAGATTTGGGGCATAAAAACAATTGTTGGTTCATAGAAAACTAGGAGCTCTCTGCCTCAGCATCTTCATCCTAACAGTATGGCTTGTTTTTCTGAGTGTACCTTTCCTAGTTGTGGTGCTTAAGCCATGTGTTGGTGAAGCTGCATGTCTTCCACTGAAAGCAGAGGAATATTGAGAATGTGGAAATGTTTTGCTGCAGCTCCCTGTAACTCCCTCAGCTGGGTGAGCTTCTTCCAGAGGTGAGTCATGTTGGTAGCAACATGTATTGTAATATGCAGCAGGTGCCAGTTTTGTGCTTGCTTTATGTGCTTTGTGCTTTTTTTTTTTTTTTTAACTCCTCCATCTGCAGTTTCTGCACTTAAAATGTTAACTGTCATCCATAGCTGCCTGCCAAGGACCATGGCCTGGCTTCTTGCTCAGGCTGTCACATCCTTGCTCTTTGTGCTTTGTCTAGCCTGGGGATTTTGGTTTCCTGGACCAGCTGGAAAGCTGGAACATACATGCATCAGTGCCTGTTGCTCACTGAACCTTACCTAAGTTCTTTCACACAGCAGCTCTGCCACTGGTGTTTCCTCTCAGAGCAGTGAGGCCTTCAGTCACTTTTATTCCAGTGGGCACTCTCTTCTAGGAAACTTCTCTCTTCATAGATTGACTTGCAGAGTGGTTTGTCCATAGAAAGAATCACAAAATGGTTTGGGTTGGAAGAGACCTCAGAGCCCACCCAGCCCCCCCCCATGCTGTGGGCCGGGCTGCCACCCAGCAGCTCAGCTGCCCAGGACTCCATCCAACCTGGCCTTGAGCACCTCCAGGGATGGGCCCAAATCGTTTTCAGATGTGCAGTATTTGGTGTGGTATTTTGGTGGACTTGTGTGTAATGTTTCTCTTCTGAAGTGAGAGCCCACTCTTGGGAAGGTTATGAACACAGCTGCAGGGCAAGCGCAAATACCAAAGTTTAGTGGGAGCCCAGGTTTCCTGATGGTAACTTGTTGTGCTAACAGCAGATTCATTTGTTTCCTAATTAATCAGAAAGAGTGTTCTTTTTATTTCAGCCATCTGGAGGAGAGCATGTTGTTTAGCTTCTTGCTACTGCAAATTGGAGCTACACAGGAAAAAGGATGTTTCAACTTGTGTTTTTGGCTTGTTTTTCTAGGTTGAGTCAGTGCAGAGCACATTAAAACATACAGTAGTCAGCTGCAAAGTTCATCTCTCAAGGACTGTGAAAATGTAACTGAAATATTCTTCCCCAAAAGACAAGAAAATATCGACTGTATAATTGCTTATTATTACTTCTTTTGTTCCATGAAATCAATTGTCAGATAAAAACGATGTTTCTTCAGCGAACTGCAGAACGGTTCTTGGATGCCGCATCTGTTAGTTTGCCACAGAGAACGCTGAACGTTGCTTTTGCATTTCTTCCTTGGATTAATGTCGGAAGCGTTTTGTGTGTCACACAATTTGTTGAGCGTGCCATTAGCTCGCTAGCTCCTCACTCAGATCTTAAAACATTGCGTTCTGCTCTCCAGAAGCCGCTCCAGCTCAGCCTTCCTTTGGAAGCTGTACTGTTCACATGGAATACTTTCCAAGGCGCAGACTGTCCCTATGTGATGTTTACTGTATTTTTGCCTTGCAGCCAGCAGATTTTAGTACAAACTTGCCTGGGGGTGGCCTTGTCCTATTTTCCTCTTAGATGGTTCTGGCATTTATAGAGCTTGGGAGATCGTGCTTCTGAATTTTCCAGTCTGAAGAGCCCGAGCCAAAACAGCAGGGGAGATAGCAAACCTGTACATTGTTTGGCTTACGGCAGCTGGGCCTGTTTTTCCTTTGACCTAAAGCAATGGCAGATTTTCTTGGGTTTGGTGTGGAGGAGGGGGAAACGAAGATGAGGAACGATGCGTGAGGAAAATTGCTTTCTCTCTTTGCTTTGGAAAAGCAACTTTTTTTTTTATTATTACCTCTGTTCCTTTTTTTGCATCTTTAAGTGCAAAAAAGCCTCAAGTTGATTTTTATATCGCAAGTAGGATTTTTTTTGTTGGAAATTTACGAATAGTGATTACTGATGAGAAGAGGGACTGTGCTTTACTTTAATATTGCATTAGCATTTTGAGCAACAACCTCTTTTTTGTTGATGTACCACTGTACCCACGGAGTTGACTTTTTTGTAGAGGACTGGCTCCTCTGGGCTTGTTAGTGACGTTCAATAGCTTCCCACCACACTATTTTCTTTATGTCTTGGTCAGTGGGAAAAAAAGTCCCCAAAACAAACCTCTTGCCAATTAGTGCCCAAAGCCTCTGCTGGGGAATGAACTTTGCTGAATGAATGTGGGAAAATTGGAAATACCCTGCAGATGGTGGCTCAGAGAATATAGAACTCGTTTTCAGAGAGCCTTTGTTGTCTGTAAACACTTTCTCCTCAGTCTTCTCCTCTAAATGAGGCTTCCTGTGGAAATAGACCTCACTGTCTGCCTTTTACTTGTCCTGCTCTTAGGTTTAGCAACAGATGTTTTGGTTAAGTTTTGCATTTGTGTAATAGTTATTTAGTTGTTCCGCAGAGTGATTTTATTCATGAAGGAATGCTTCTTCATGTGATTGTTTGATTCCCAAGCTTATGAATTCCAGGAGCGTAGGAAAGTTTCCTAAAAATAAGTTTCTGAGAACAACAGCGTGTGGTGAACTTCACCACATGTGCGAAGCAGAATGCAGAGTTGTATTATTAAACACTGGGGACTCATCCTGATTAAGCTGGATCCAAAGCATCCTTACCAGCTTCACAGTGCAAATGCTTTTCCAGAGGGAGAATTTTCCCAATTGGCAACTATTGATAGTTTTCCTGTCTCGGTCTCCATCTGCAGTCCCCTCTGAGTTCCTCAGAGACACGCAGAAATGACATTCCTACCCATGGGGCGATGGACCCGTGCATGGGTGCATAACCCAAAGAGTGGCAGAATACTGATCATCCAGACTCTGAATGAAAAACACTGGCAAGGGACTCTCATACTTCCATGAATATCCTTTGCTGTGTTTCCTATCACTCCTTGTCTTGGTTTTTTTTTTCACTAAATGTAATGATTCCCATAGCCTGTCTACTGGTATTTAATACTTCTGCTGTTGTATGCAGGAACAGATTTCCTTTCCCATGCTGAACTCACTGAGGGAGGCTGTCATCGCTACTTATTAGTTTCTGTCTTCTTTCAGTGTTCTCAGGAACATCTTCCTTAAAGTTAAGCAGCAGATCTGGTCGATTCTCTGTTGATATTAATTGCTGCATAATGAAGTGCCCTTGAAAGTCAGTTATGTAAATGAGCAGCCTTGAGCTGGCCATAAGAACAATGCTGGCTTGGTCTTTAATTTAATAATTGGGGAATTGGAACATAAAGCAGTTCTTTAAATCTGAAATTGGATAGAGTCATATTTTTATTAGCCAAATTCTAATTGTGTGAACCATGATTAATCATTGGTTTAAAATTCAGTTTAGGTTTACTTTGCATGCAGACAAGTATTTCAGATGCTGTTATGTATTAGGAAGAACTTATGTTCAGTTGCCTTAGGTATTTTAGTTGATTATTTTGAAAGAAGTTGGTAATTTGTTGTAAAGACCAAATAGTCTTTCTTGAAATACACTGCGCCTGTTTTCTTCCCTTCCTGCTTACCTTAGTTGTGATAGAAATTACAGTTCTTCCGTAAAAATTCCTTGTGTTTTTCCTGAAGACACATCATAGCTGAGCCTCTTGGCTTATTAGGAAGTCTGTGAATTCTAGACAGTAGAGGGCCGTTCCATCATCCGGATCATTCTGTCAGCTCAGGTAAAGTTTATTCGTTACTGCATACAATACCTGCATACTGGTGGATGCAGAGTTATTTGCAAATACAGCCTTGGCAGACCTCCTCTGGAATTCTGAACGGGTTTTCCAGCTAGACTTAGTCATTTTTTCCCAAATGTCTTGGCATAGCTGATCACTCAGGAGTGACATATGGTAGAAACATGCTCTGAGGGACAAGTCTCCCGGATGGCGCACAGCACCACACAAGATAGACAGATGGTGGCTTATTCAACCTTGGAAAAAGTTTAATCCTACATATTGGCAAGGCGGCCTGGGTACTGAGAGAGGCACACACATGCCTGTGAAATCTGAGGCAAAGCTTTTGCGAATTTGCTTGCTGTTACTGAAAGAGCTAGAAGGATCGAGGTGGCTTTATACAGCGTAAATATCTGCAAAGCTGCATGTTCAGAGTGCTGTCAAGAAAAAGTGAAGTCCCTTAGAAACACGGAAATCCCAGAGTTGGCTGCAGAAGATAAAGTTTGCTGAAATTTCCACAGCTGTTTTTAGACTTCAGACATCTTTATTCAGAGTTATTGAGTGCTGAACCTAAGCGCCAATAACTATTTATTAAATGAAGTTTTGAATGGGAGGAAGGGTAATTCTGTGTTTTCCATGGGTTTTAGTTATGTCGCTGCTGGTTTTGTAGAATGTATTAAAAGCACTTGACAGCACAGAAAACATAACCTTCCTTTTAGTTTAGCAATCTTAAGGAAATGTGAGTTCTGAAAGTTACAAATGCCCTGACAATAAATTTAAATTAATGGCAGAAAGTGCAAATGGTATGTTACAGTTCTGTGTAAAGAAGAGCGTCAGGCCTGTCGCTTAAATATCTTTGTAATTAAGGCAGTGATCTCAAAGGGAAAAATGAACCCGTTCTGTAGAGATATTTAAGAAAGAACACAAGTCTGATTTGAAATCTTTCAGGAACTCCAGTAGTGATCGATCTTCTGAAGTCAGCGCAGTGTTCTGTAGCAATTTTGAAAATGCTGACCCACTGAGAATAAGAAGGATTGTCCACCATCCGTGTTTTTCACTTTTTTCTGTAGGTCACACTCAGTATTCACAACCAGAAGGAAGAGGAAGAATCTCCTGACTCCCTGGACATCAAGGATATCGCTATGTTACTTTGGGTGAGTTTAAACTACACAAGACTTTTCTTTCTGAAACGGTTTTAGAAAGGTAAATACAATTCAGACAAACCAATCTTTTGTAGTAGGGGTGCACTGTAGTCGCATTGATCTCATAACTTTTCTGCCTTATCACGATGTGATCTTTTTGATATGTATTTTCTTGCAGTCATACATATGCATGTTTTGATGGTAGTTGTTCATATACATAATTGTAACTAAACCTTACTACTAATTTTAGATAGTGGAAGATTTTGATTTATGAGTCCTGGGATATTCTGTGGAAATATATGGATCTCAGGGAAATCTCTCAGGTGAAAGACATGAGGAAGTGATTTGCTCAGAGTAGTCAGTGTATCAGTAATTATTTGCCTGGGATGTGGAAGACCCAGTTAATATTACTGTTTTACCTACAAAAAATAAATCTTGAAAACGAGCCCCCTAGACACTGAATTGTTAAATCAGTTGGCACTGAGTAACAAGTGGTGTAGTGTCAGAGCTTGAGAGGCAGCTGCAAAGAGGGAAAGAAGAGTTCAGTAACCTGTTTAGGATATGCATGAAAGAAATAAAAGACACCAAATTCCTGCTTTCAGCTGAGAGTGCTTTTGTATAATATGATGATATGCTTACTTTGAGTCAGATGAACATGAATATTCAGTCTTCCTGAGAACCTTTCAGGTACTTACTTTCTTTCTGTTTGTTTTGCTATGCTTCTTTATGGGAAATGGTGACCATATCATAGCTGAGCCCAAATGGTGGCCATAATTGCAGCAGAACTAGAGCAGTCTCCCTGATTTTATTTTTTGTCTTCCTCAGCTATTTTAGCACTAAGACAGTATGAAGTTGAATAATTAAACTTTGTGCTGAAGTGCACAGTCAGCAAAATATGACAGATATCAGTGTGCTCCCAGCCTAGACCCTGCTAAGTTTACTTAGAAACCACGCAGACGAAGTGAGTAGTTTGGTCCGTCCAGCCCCTTTTGGCACAGTTGTGGCCTGCTGTCACAAAGAGTGCCTGTGGGCCTTTCAAACATCATTTATTTGTGAAAGCTACAATCTGATGAGATGACTAACATTCTGCAGATCCACAGCTGACACCTTTTTGACCAAGATCTGAAGTTCAGACTTCAGTACCTGAATCCCTTGGAATTTTAAGCTATGCTTCATGGACTTGCTGTTTCTTTAAATTTATAGGCTGATCATATCACTGTTGAATTGCTGAACATCAGTGTGTGTGAACGGGCCATCTGCTGTCAGGGCTAAGTCTTGCATCTCTCCACCCAGTGACAGCAGAGGTCATTAAACCATGGTGACTCTCACACGGGTGGGAGTGGTTTGAGGTAACATGGCTGTGTGGGGGAAAAAAAAAAAGCACACATCAGATCTCATTGTTCTTCATCCTGTAGTAATATGACATGTGGAGGACTAAAGTGGAGAAGAGCAGAGCTTGGAATAGGAGACTGGATTCTCACAGATATGTAAAAGGTTTGGATGTGTGAGAGGAACGAAAGCTGAATTTTGTAGTAGGGGTTTTGAGTTAATTATGAGAACAGATGAAGCATGGAAAAACTGTCTATGTAGGAGAGAAGCAGCCTTCAGGTTTTGGAAGGGAACCTGCATACAGTTGGACTTTTTTAAAGGGTTCTGATCCTTAAGTCACTGAGTGGCAGAGTAACTGAGATATAAAATGTGTACACTCTCATTTTGTCAAGATTTGTTTACCTTGTGCTTTTCATAATTGGAGAGTGAATGTTGTTTTTTTTGTTTGTTTTAACTTTTTTTTTTTTAACTCCTCCAAAACTTCTGTGTGTTTTGCTTCAGCCACTGAATATCCTAGAAATGCAGAATACCCACTGGCTGACCTTTGTGTTCAACTGGCTGTGAAGTTTGGGCAGGATGTGGGGCTAGTGCTAGCCAGGGAATCCTATGCCACCTTGCTCTGCCAGGATTGCTGCTTTGGAGATGTAATCAATAGGAAAAAGTGGAATGCAGAAAATAAGAAAAAGATATGGTGGGCACATAACTGATCCAAACTGAAGGAAACTCAGAAGATGGTTACGAGAGGACACAACAATTCTACCATGCTAGTTCCTGCTACCTGCTGTGGGGCCCTTGAGAGAGCCACTGCAGTCAAGGTTGTGTTGAAACTTTTCAATCAGGACTAAATTATTTTGCTGCATGTCTTGAGGATTACCTGTAGTCTTTATTGCAGCTGATTCTAAAATGTGTTTTTAAGTGGTGTAGCCAAACGGGGAAGAAACAACTTAAAAACCCTCTTTCAGTGAGTAACCTGGTGGTGGTAAGTGTGAAGTTGTGATTGTCATCTTTATCTTTTTCTTTCCTTCTTGAGAGGTGTTTGGAGATGTTATTTCCTAATTTAGGACTTAATCCCTTCCCCTCACCATCTCCAGCCCTGAATCCATCTGAAACCCTAGGCTGCACTGTGCACTTGAAGTGATGTGCCTCAGAGTCCTAAATTCAGGTAAAGCTGAAAATGGCTGCAATCACTTTTATGCTTTCTATTCATCCCCCTTTGTTCCTTCTCCCTCCCTGTTCCCCTTGTGCTCGCTTGCTCTCTCTTTAGTTTAACACAGTTGAACAGCAGTGAAGTGTAAAATGTGCTTTTGCCAAGGTCAGTTTCTTGTGATTACTCGCCTGTGGCAACTTATGCCAGTTGCAACAGACTGAGTCTCAGCAGTCCACAAAGTCACACTGGTGCTTATGCAGAGGACACCCAGTGTAGGTTATAGTAAGTATAGTTTGGAATAGCTTGCAATGCTGCTGAATTTTAGCAGCTTTATTTAACTCTTCTCATCCAGATTGTGCATATTTCATGGTTTGGAGTCTGTTCCACAAAGCAATAGATTGTCATCTTCTCCAGGACCCTTGAGGAGGAAGTTCATGTTGTTAGAGGATGGTTGTTTTCTTACAAGTGAGTTGCCTAACTTTCAGGAAGTATTCATTGGAGAGGATACAATAAAGAATCACTGATACACTGCATTTTCTAAATGTTTTATATATATATATTTTATTTGCTGGCTCTTGGAGAAAGTCGTATCAAATTCTGCTCTATTTAAATTGATAAAAGACAAGAGGAAATACATATCTATATAGGAAGAAGCATTATTGCAAAATGTAAGAAGGCTTAAAACGAGAACTGAGAAGAGAGTGATACAGTTTTTATTCCCCCTTTGAAAATGTTGCATACACTCAGAGAATTTTTTTTACTAGAACCTAATAAAGAATTTGCCTGCAGTGACAGAGGAAGGAGCATGAGATGCATGAACATCTGTTTTAGGAAATGTGAATTGTTGACTCCCCTTGTGTTGTGCATACTGAATTGGGTACCACTAGGTAAGAGGTTCCTCCTTTTTCATTCCCCTTTCTGACATTTGAGTAAACATAACATCTAAAATGTTATGTTTAGAACAGAAAAGCATGAACTTGCTCTTTTAGTTTGCTCATTTGTGTTATTGTTGACCATGATATTTTTCATTCTCAAATATGTACTTCCATAAGAAGCACTTAACTCTTGAGCTTTCTGATGCTGATTTTTGAGGTAACCTGTCCCTCACTCCTGATTACTAGAGAGGGGAAAAAATAATCTAGATGATCAACTGAAAGGCTGGAGCTGAACTTCAGAGGCCTTTGAAATTCAGTTAAGTGCAGAATTTCATTGCATAAAATTGATTATATGTTTGATTCATTTTGAAGCTATGTTTTGCTATATTAAATACTACTCTCTCACATTTGGCTTTGGAATGATTCTTGGACACGAGTGAAATATTGAGTCAGCAACTGAATATTGATCTTGTGGACCCCCGTGCACAAGAATGTTCCTGTTAAGCTCATTGAAACCCTCACCAAGAAAGACGAGGACTGAGAAGTCATTTGAAACACTTTAAGAAGGGTTCGTCATGTATTTTCTGTTTAGCCTTGCTGTCAGGCTTGCACAAAGCATTTTTTGATGCAGATGCTACTTGTTGCTTTTTTTGCACACGTGGAAGACAATGGAATTAATCTTTTGTTGCAAGTTTGTTTTGGACTGAAATTTGCTTATCTGTTTTTGCTGCTGTTCCATCCCGTATTCCTTTGCGTTTGATAACATTTATATTGGCTCAGCTCTTATGGAAGAATATGTTTTGGTAGCTCTGTTCAGACTTTATGAAGGCTGGGCTGTCTGCTTAACTTGTCTTAAAGCTGGAAATTCATGGTGGAAATGGGCGGTGTTTTGTGTGACTGCTATACAGGCATGTAGCCCTCGCTGTGATGCAAGTTGTCTTCCAGTTGTTTCAGAGAGAAAATGGAAACAAGTTTCTTACCTTAGGAGGAAACTGGAAGCAGAGAAGCGCAGCTGGTCGGTCTTCAATCAGCTGAGCAGTGGACAAAAGGGTGCTCTTGGTTGCAGTGAAATAGACTGGCTTCATTGTCTGTGCTCACCAGAATTTATCCCATTCATTTAGTTTAATCTTAAGGAACATGAGAAAAGGAAAGAACTACTCAGAAGGTTTTTTGAAACGTTCCTTAAGATGTTCCTGCAGTAGGCTGCTAATATCCCCTCTTATCATTCAATTCATGTTTGGTTATAGGGGAATATCTCAGAACTTGAAGCTGGGTAAAGAGAGATCAAGGAATTTAGAGAAAGCATTCTCAGGTTCTGTTTGGAAGATGTTTTTTTCCAAAGAAAGACCTGTGGTATGGTTATGATCCTTATGTCCTTGGAAGATGAAAGGGAAAGCAGGTGATAAATCGTGTTTTCTTATTTCCCATTTTAATGGTAAGATTATTTTCAAGCTTCTAATGGCTTTTAATAAATGCTGAGTTACTCATTCCAGTTATGACAAGGCAGCATCGTTCTGATAGTTTCCTTCTTGTCAGATGGGCGAAGTGCAAGGACTGAATGAACGCAGGAGACAGGATTGCTTATGGTTTGTTACAGATTTGACACCTGAATCACCACAAGCACTGGGGCAGTGTATAGTGTGACTTCAGCCCCCACGTGG